TAATAAAGGCTATTCTATTCTACTGAACCTGCCTCCACCAGATTTCTAGGCAGTGTATTCATCATCCTAACTACTCACTGGGTGAGAAAGATAGGGTGGCTCAGTGATTAACACTGTCGCCTCACAGCAACAAGTTTGATTCCAGCCATGGACAACTGTCTGTGTGGTGTTTGCACATTCTCTGGCACTGTGAGGCAGCTGTGCTAACCTGAGCAATTGTTTATCATCTTATACAGTGATCACTTACGGGGCTGGTTCAGCCGACTGAGTACCCTGAATTTTATATGGGGGACGTTTGCCCAAAGCATTAGTGTGAGGCATGGTGGTAACAGTGTATGCCATTGACAAGATGCACTGCAGCTACTCACCGAGCTCTTTAGTCTGCACTTTCTAAACCTATGCCTCCTACCGAATAGGCATATACACAGGAACATCACCAGTTGCAAGTTCCCTGCTTACTCAGCATTTATTCCATCAAGTCCCTTAAGGATTTTCTATGTTTCAACAAAATCTCCTCATCCTTCCACATTCCAGTCAATACAGGCATCATCTACTCAACCTCCCCTCCAACGGTGGCAGAATTACATTCATAGCAATTTCATCATTCACATTGTTTCCTTTGGCCCTTTCCAACTCATGGATCTAAAAATATTTTCTTTACTTACCAATTCTTAATTAAAGATACTTTGGAGACTTTTAAGCGACTCTTGGATAGACACACAGAGGACAGTAAAATGTAGGGTATGCAGGGTAGTTTGATCCTTGTAGGATAATAGGTCGGCACAACATCGTGGGCCCGAAGGGCCGTACTGTTCTATGAAGGAAAATGGTTGAGCCTGTGTCTATCCATGTTTGAAAGAACGTGGTGGAGGGGGGGAAACCTATTGAACCATATGGGATTCTGAGAGTAAACAATAGGTTGAACACTGGGAGGATGTTTCACCTTGGGGGCGGGGAGAAAAAGAGTCTAGAACTAGTGGTCACAGTTTCAACATAAGGCTCCTCCCAATCAAGACACAGATTAGACATTTTCTTCCTTAGGGGATCATTTCTGTGGAGGCAGAGAACACAAATGGTTTCTAGGATGGCAAGAATTATGTATGAAAAGAGATTGGATTGGCTTGGATTATATTCACTGAAGTTTAGAAAAATGGGGCTGGGGTGGGTATTTCACAGAAATCTGTAATATTCCAACAGGAAGTAGACAGGGTAAACGCAGGAAGGATGTTCCCAATGACCAGGGAGCCCAGAACCAGGGCTCACAGTCTAAGGATACAGGGTGGGCCATTTAGGACTGAGATGAGGAGAAATGTTTTCACCCAGTGAGTGGGGAGCCTGTGGCATTCTCTGCCATTGAGATCAACACATTGAATATTTTCAAGAAGGAGTTAGATATAATTGTTGGGGCTAAAGGATGGAAGAGTATAGGGAGAAAGTGCAAACAGGAGGCTAAGTTGGATGAACAGCCATGATCATATTGATTCAAACGGCCAAATGGCCTACACTTACTCCTATTATCTATATTTCTAACAGGTCCCTGCATATGAAGTTATGCCACTTCTGAATGTATAAACATTGCTAACTCGACAAATTGTCTTGATACGGTATATGTTAGCATACTCAGAATTTACCTGTATGCGCTGTTCAATTGAATCACATCTAGGCTGCAGGGCTTTCTCATGGGTTTTGCGAGCATGGACTGGGGGAATAAGGTCTGTTAGGAACCACTAAAGGAACATGCCGTTTGATTCCGTCAGCTGATCGTCAGGACAGACAGACCACACTCCTGGACTCCTAACAGCATTGCATTTTATAAAAGGCATCACGTTTTTAAAAAAAAACCCAATCTCCCTGAATTTACATCGGAACAGCATTTTCGGAGAAGAAGTTTTATTTGAGATGCACGGCAGGGAAGAATGCAGCTTAATTAGACATTTCAAGACCTACCCTCTGCTGATAAGGACCATCTTGCAGGTTAATGGAAAGTGGGATTAGCATGCTCAATTATAACTTATAAAATGAAGACTTTGCAAATCAATTTTAAACCATTGAATGGTTTTCAGCTCCAGAGTGGAATAAAAATCATAGAATCCCTAGTGTGGAAGCAAGCTATTCAGCCCATCAAGTCCACCCCGATCCTCCAAAGAGCATCCCATCCAATCCCTGTAACCCTGCATTTCCCATGGCTAACCCACCTAGTCTGCACATCCCTGGGCACAATGGGCAATTTAGCACAGCCAATCTACCTATAAAACTTGCACATCTTTGGGCTGTGGGAGGAAACCCACGCAGACGCAGGGAGAATGTGCAAACTCCACACAGACAGTCGCCCGAAGGTGGAATCAAACCTGGGTCCCTGGTGCCGTGAGGCAGCAGTGCTAACCACTGAGCCACCGTGGTGTTCTAGCAGGATGTCTGTTCCCCATTGAATCGTACATCATACAAAGTTACTCAATAGCTGATTAAGACCTGAGTAAGTAAAAGGATATCTTGATTCAGATAAATGTCACTAATTGTTGTTATCCAGAGCATAGCAAACCATACAATCTGTTATTTATCGTGGTACTATTTCAGCATTTGTCAGGCACAAAGTTGGGTAAACAGTAGTGTCATCACTGGGCACCTAACACACCAGAGACAGGGGTTCGAATCTCATCGCAGCTTTAGAAATTAAGTTCAATTAATAAACCTGGAATTAAGAACTAGTCTCAGGAATGGTATCATCGCTTGTTGCAAAAAAAAAATGCATCTAGGTCACACAGTGTCATTGGATAAATACTTGGGGGTGGGGAATAAAACCGTAGGGACATGGGAGACTAATGAGATTGCTCATCACAAAGGACAAAGACAATATGTTGTACTGCCGCTTCCTGTTCTTGTTAATAATGCTGTGATTGACAGTCCAATAGACAATTATATGACTTAAGAGATTTAAATGGGTAAGGGGTTAAATCACTCGGTAACATTATGCAACGCAGTTACTGCATCAGTGCACTGTTGCGAGACACATTCAGATCATCGTCACTATATCATAGCATGTGATAAGGGTATAAAGATCTCACTAAGATTTCATCTTAACCCTGGCCACTTGAAGCATACCATACTGGTGAAAGCATGCTGCGCCTTGTAACAGAATAGCTTAATGTTAGCCCAGACACTGATGTGCCTGTGAATGTAACATTTGTACATTTTAGTGAGCTCTCTGTTAGAGCTTTCAATACCACACTACCCATGTGCTAGTTTCCTGGCCCAATACTTACTGGTCTATCATTTCCTTTGGGACCCAGGAACATGGAAATGAAAATAAAGGAATGATATTAAACTGCAAGTCCCGGGTTCTCTTCCCCTGCTCTCTGATGGCACAACTCCGACTACAGCAGGTCAGGAAGGCAGCCGCCATCACCTCTTCAAAGGGCAACAAATAACAAGCAACATCCGCATTCCAACACTTTCGCTTTGAATCAGAGGGCTTCAATTGCCAGTTAAAATGCACCAATTCAAAATTTCTAACATCTGCATTTTCAAAAATTAGATTGATGCTTCTATTTGCATTTTCAATTCGACTTAATATGTACAACCACCCCTGACTGCCGAAGGCTTTATTAGCAGAAAAAAAATCCCTGCATCATTCCAGCCAATTTGCATTTTATAATTAAAAAGCATGTCAAGCACTTTATTTTCCATGTTGCCAATTAACATAGCAGATTATCCCAGGAAAGTAAAGCAGCCTTTCCTCTCTGTATTGCTGTCCTGAGTCTTGATTGAGGTCTGGATCCATTATCTCATGCTTAGTGATAAAGGCTTTGTACCACTGCAATCCCACAGTCAATTGGGTTACACAACACTCTGCCCATCGACCAGGCTTTCCCATGTTCGTACAGGTCTCTCTCCCTTGTACAAGTGGGAATCATGGCCTCGATTTGGAATCCTTTGTCAGAAAGGATGAAAGTTTTAAAAAGTGGGATCTGTTGGAATGTTGCATGGACACAGGGCTGAGTGGCCAAAGTCCCACTGGACCATACACACATCAGGTGAGGGGGAAGAGGTTGAGAAGGAGATTGCTTCATGGTAACCTCAGCTGGTATGGGTACTAAACTCATGCTGTTGGCATCACAAACCAACCGTCCAGGCAACTGAGCTAACTGAAACCCCCTACAGATGCACACCCCTCATGAATTAAGCGGTCACCCATATAACGTGACTGTCACAGTGTTAAACCTTGGGGACTTTGTTAGACTAGAGAATTCTAGCATGGAGGAAATGATGGGCCAAAAACGGGCAAACGAGACTAGATTAATATAGGCTATCTCGTCGGCATGCAGGACGTTGGAGTGAAGGGTCTGTTTCCGTGCTGTATATCTCTATAACTGGACAGGCTGTGGTCATTTTCTTTTGAACAGGGGAGATTTAATAGAGATGGGTAAATCCACGAGGGGTCTCGATAGAACAAGGAACCTCTTCCCTTAGATCTGGTTCTGTGATTAGGGGATATAATATTTCAGACACAGTGGCAGGAGGGATAGAGAGAATTCCAGGGAATTCTTGCAGCCAGAAGGTGGTGGGGGTCTGGGGAACTCATTGCCAGAAACTGTGGCGGTGGGAACAGAAACATTTTCGAAAGTACATGGAATATCCACCTATCCACCATAAGCTACAAGCAGTACACAGCAACAGCTGGAAACTGTGGTTTAAAAGCAAAATATTGCAGACGCTGGAAATCTGAAACAAACAGAGAAAAGTGGAGAAACTCAGCAGTGTCTGTGGAGAGGCAGCCAGTTAATGTTTCGAGTCTGATATGACTCCTCCTCAGTGAGTTGAAGTTGGATAGCTCCTTGTCATCCACCGTAGATATGATGGGCTGAAGGGCCTTCTCCCTGCTGTAAATCTGTGAGGGTCTTGATTTCCACAAAGTCAACCGATCCAGTTAATCACGGTGCAGCATTAGAAATAGACAATCCTTGATACATGCTGATAAAATAAACTCAGACCCCAGCGAAAAATTCAAAAAGTAGCCTTTAATTTATATCCGGGCCAGAGGTGTAATGTTCTGATTCTGGTACACAGTAAAACTGGCAAAAGCCATTGTCACAATTTTCTCCTGGTTCAAAAGCTGTTCTTTAATCTGTGTTCCACCAGCATCTTCCCCCACCCCTCTTCGTATTTGGTACAAATCATGTAAAACATTTGTGCTAATTAAGAATTTAGAAAAGAAAAATAGTTGTCATGGTCTATCTAAGTTTTCAAACTGGTCAACATCACTTGCTCCAAAAGCATTTCCTCATCAATACCTATCCCCTTCGTGAAAACAAACGGTAAAAACATGCAAAAAAGAAAAATCTGAATCGCCCAAAGTTTCTCTCTTTTTTTTCCTGACGACATGATCTGAAGGTTTGGAACTGGTCTGTCGAATAGGTCTCCGAACATTATGTACACTTTCTTTTTGTACAAACAGAAAAAAAAAACAAAAAAAAAAAATTAATACCACTTTTCAGCTCGAGGCTGAAATTAAACTCTCATTTTCTTCTCTGGCTTGAGAAAATGTAAGTTTCACAGTGCCGTGACGAACATCAGGGGACACTGATAACCTTCAGTAAGTCTCAGCCTGTTTCAATTCACTGCAGTGCTTCTGAAAATCTGTGATCTGAAATCTGCTCACTTTCCCCGCTGAAACAAAAAGCGGTACTTGCTTCTTTTTTTTTTGTAAAAAGAAAAAGATTTGGTGTCTTTAGCATCTTATTTAAACTAAAAGCAGAGAATAGCTCAACGTTGTCTAACTGAGCTTTGTGTAAGCCCCTCCACTGTGCTGCAATTGGAGAGGATCAAGAAAAAAAGAGGATTATCACTTCAGAAATGTCACAGGTACTTTTAAAGCGTGTAACATAAATCTAATGATTCTGGAGATCAAAAAAGTGTACAAAAAGGCACAAAATCCCGGTGCTTCTGTACTTTGAGATTCAAGTGTAACAGAGCTCTCATCAATATTTCCTTTAAAACAGTGTCAGTTTACCAATAACTCCATTCACGCAAGTAGTTTGCAGCCTGTACCGTAGCTCTCAACGTGCGTTTTAACAAGTTGACTAACATGTAAAAGCCTAGCTCTTTTTTTTTGTGTGTGTGTGTTTGTATTTGTGTTGGCTGCTGCTGGAAACAAATCAGTCAGAAGTTCTTTAAAAAGAGTCTGCAAACGTTCCCACTTGCGCTGGAGAGAAGAGAGTGCCTAGCAGTCGCTGCCTCCACCGTACATGTCTGCCAGCTTCTTAAATCGCGGGCCCCAGTCATTCAGATAGTCGTAGTCCTGGTCTCCCCCAGAACTTGTCGAGTTGAGCGAACTCAAAGACCCTGCCGTGGAACCGCTTCCCTCGTAGTCGAACACCAGCAACGAGTCGTAAGGAGGTGCTGTGGGATCGTTGTCTGCGGCCTTGAGCCCCTGAAATTTGCAATTTTGTGAACGAGAAAGGAAACAGTTATAAAAATGCTTGCTTTGAATTTGCGTACCCACCCAATTCAACACTGAAATGCAACTTCACAGGTGCTACACTCAAACAGTAAAAGGTAAAACTGCCCTGCAGCCTTTTGGCATTTAAACTTCGTCGCCAATACTCCCTCGTATTTCTTTGTTCAGTCATGGGATGTGAGCGTTGGTGCCCAGGCCAGCATTTATTGCCGGAGAGTCAACCACATCGCTGTGGGTCTGGAGTCACATGTAGGTCAGACCAGGTAAGGATGGCAGATTTCCCTCCCTAAAGGACATTAGGTGATCTGGATGGGTTTTTATGACAATTAACAGTGTTATGGCCCAGACCAAACACCCCACTAAAAATGTGTTAGTGACATAGTCTGGACCCTAACTTTTTTCTTATTTTAAAGGCAACAGCCAGGCATTGTGTTCCAATGCAATTCCATTGGTCAGACCAGCAGATTTGAAGCAAAACACACTTTATTCACACACTATAGTTAAAATACAACAAAAGAAAGAAGGAATTGAAATAACTTTATAGTCTATTGGAAAACTTAACAGAATAGTAGATTATTTAACTACTGAACAGTAACTATTCCAATATAGTAACATCCCATAAACACACCCTTGACAAAGGTAAATTCAGTAAAATAGATTGTCTCAGAGGCAGTTGCTCAGTTCAGGAGGGAATCCATCAAGAGAAAACTGAGAGAGAGAGAGTAACATAGGATGGTGTACTGCAGCTTCAAGACCCCAGCAACTGCTACTGTAAAACTAAAACTAAAAATCCTGGTTCTGTAGGAACTTGGCCCATCCACTCAGGCTGCTTCTATTGTTCCCACTGTTAGAAAAAAAAGGTCTCACAAGCTGTTTACTTTCAAGGGCTTTCGATAGACACCTCCACACCTCTGCCTTAAAACCGCTCTTCAACAAGAATAAAATACCAGGACGATATACAACCCTTAAAGCCATCGCACCATCACACCAGCAGCTACATGCTCATCATTCAGTCAGCTCTTTATTCCAGGTATTTACGGAATTCAATTTTTCAAACTTGTCATGGGATTCGAAGCCAAGCCCTTAGAATATTTATCTGAGTTTCTGCATTACCACTATGTTACTGTTTTGGTCCTGTCAACAGGTCAGAACCGCTTCTCTACAACTGGTGAGGTGGCTCAGTGGTTAGCACTGCTGCCTTACAGTGCCAGGAACCTGGGTTCAATTCCACCCTCGGGCGACTGTCTGTGTGGAGTTTGCACATTCTCCCCGTGTCTGCGTGGGTTTCCTCCCACAGTCCAAAGATGTGCAGATTAGGGTGGATCGGCCATGCTAAATTGCCCCACAATCTTCAGAGATGTGCAGGCCAGGTGGGTTAGCCATGGGAAGAGCAGGGTTACACAGATAGGTGTTGGGTCTGGGTGGGATGTTCTTCGGAGGGTCAGTGTCGACTTGATGGGCTGAATGGCCTGCTTCCACGCTGTAGGGACTCTATGATCTATGCTTTCTGACTTTAAAGACATCCCGTTAAGCCTCGCCATCAGCATCTGTAACAGGGATAACGTCTTGGTGCCAAACAGAGCTCAAGGATGAGACCAGAACATTCTCCAGTGCCTCAATATGCTTTTTGTGGGATAGCGAGACTGATGCTTGAAGGTAGTCTGGATCAGTTAGCACTACATTCACAGGAGTTTAGAAGAATGAGGGGGGGGGGGGGGAAGGGTCTCAGAAAACCTATAAAATTCCAACAGGACTAGACAGCATAAATGCAGGGAAAATGTTCCCAATGACCAGGGAATCCAGATCCAGGGCTCACAGTCTAAGGATACAGGGTGCACCATTTAGGACTGACAGGAGGAAAAATGTCTTCACCCAGAGAGTGGGGAGCCTGTGGAATTCTCTGCCACAGAAAGTGGCTGAAGCCAAAACACCGAATGTTCTCAAGGAGTTAGATACAGTTCTTAGGGCGAAAAGGATCAAAGGATTGAGGTGGTGGTGTGATCTGGACATCTCTTTTTCATTTCCCTGTTTCTTTTATTTCTGCTTCTGTTTTTAAGCCTGCCTTTGGTACACTAAGATGGTGCCGGATAATGGTGACTTTGTAAATGTTTTACTGTATTTCTGTACTCGCGTACACATGACAATAAAATCTAAATCCATAAGCTGGAGACCAGCAGCATTCACAGTACTCCGAGTGTGGTTGGATTTACTAAGACTACCCAGGAACAAAGTCTGTGGGGGCTTGGGGAATAATGTAACTGGTTAAAAAAAAAATCAAACCAAGCCTATTAGCAGGTTCTAAGTAACACATACACAGCTGAGGCACAAGCTAGATTCTTGTTCCGCATTTACACAAACATTTTATTTTGTTTTGAGACACCAGGAATTCCTTTACTCATTCTGAACAGCAGGAGAGGTGTCATTTACATAGTTACTGCTCAACTATGGAATCAACAGATTGAACAAAGAGGGTCATTTTTAAAAAAAACTCCCGAGACTGCAACATTGATTTAAAACTCCTGGCTGAATAAAGTGGCAGAAGTGATGACCAGAGGTAATGGGATAAAACCTCAAGCAGCCTGGCTTTCTCCAGTTCAGAAGTAAACGAATATCAACCTTTGAGCTGTGCACATTATTCTTAGTGTTAAGGACAAAAAAAAAAATGAAAAAGCTAAAGCAGGATAATGGACAAATAACTTCAGTAACAGTGCAGGGAACAGTCAGAAAATAGTACAGCATAGGAAGAGGCCATTCAGCCCAGAGCCCTTTTGAAATTAATCTAGTTAGCCCTTCTGCACATATCCTGAAATTTGTTTCTCCTTCAAGTATACACCCTATTCCTTTTTGTAGGCTCCAATTTCTGGGGTCTAGTAATCGAGAGGCTTAGACTAATGCTCCAAGGACACAGGTTCAAATCCCACCATGGCTCCATGTGGAATTTAATAAATAAATTCTGGAATTGAAAGCTAGTCTTAGTGATGACAACCACGATTATCACAAATCCCATCTGCTTCACTAATGTACCTTAGTCAGGGAAATCTGCATCCTTACCTAGACTGGTTTACATGTGACTCCAGATCCACAGCAACTGCCCTGTGAAATGGCCAAGCGAGAGGCTCTGTTCAGGGGCAATTAGGGATGGGCAACAAATTCTCAGGTGAAATCCACATACCATGAGGGAATGAAACTAAAAATTTGGAATGCATCTCGCACTCTAGCAGACAATGCAGTCATATCCTAACCACTTCCAATAACACACACAAATGGTTCTCACCATGTTGTCTGTCAGCTCTGAAAACCTCAAATTTGTGCCCTTTGTCAGCTACTCAAAACAGCTACTGTCCATTTATTCCTAAAAATAAACTTTATCTCTCTACTTGAGGAGAATAACCAAAACGAATATAGCTGTGCAGGGCTATATGTGATCTAAAAGTACGTGGTACGCATCACTAGTTAGAGCCAGCTGGAGACTTTGGTTTGTACTCATTCTTCCAAGGGATGTGGGTGTTGCAGACAAGGTCTGTCTTAGTTCCTGAACTGAGTGTTTCACTACAGCCATTTCAGATTCAACCATATTGCTGTGGATCAGGAATCATATCTGGACCAGACCAGGTTTCCTTCCTAAACATGCATTTAGTGAACCAGATGGGTTTTAGAATGCAATTGGCAGTAATTACATTATCCCATCAAGCTAGCTTAGTGTTTATGGAATTCAGACTTTTGTGACACTCAACACTTCCATGGTCACACAGTTGGGCCAGCTTTTGATTCCATTATTACTGAATTTAAATTTCATCATCTGTCATGGTGTGATTTGAACTAATGTCCCCAGAACATCAGCTCAGGCGGCCTGGATTACTAGTCCCGAGACATTACCATTACACCACTCGGCCTGCAAATTGGGTGGTGGGACTTTGTGGGTTTGTATAGCTTTAGATCTATTGTGACAGTCATACATTGGCCCTGGTGCTTCAAACAGGAGCCAAAACCTTACAAATGATGTCTTGACCAAAGCGAGGAGGCAAGGAGATGTTCAGCAGTTACAAAAATCAAGGGGACAGTGATCCTGACTCACCCAGAAATGCCAGCTGTAGAGTCACAGAGCATGGAAAAACATCCTTCAGTCCAACCAGTCAACCACGCTCCCAAACTAAACTAGCCCCATTTGCCTGCATTTGTCCCATATCTCTCCAAACCTTTCCTAATCATGAACTTATCCAAGTACCATTTAATCATTGTAACTGCACCTGCACCTGCACCTGCACCCACCACTTCCTCTGGCAGTTCATTCCATACAGGAACAACCCTGTGTGCAAAAATGCTGCCCCTCATGTCCTTTTTAAATCTTTGTCCCTTCACTTTAAAAATATACCCTCTAGTTTTGAACCCCCTCACTCTCGAGAACAGACCCTTGTCATTCACCTTATCTATGCCCCTCATGATTTTATGAACTCAAAAAAGGTCACTCCTCAACCTTCTATGCTCCAGTGAAAAAAGTCCCAGTCTTTCCAGTCAATTTTTATATCTTAGGCATACAGCATGGAAACAGACCCTTCAGCTAACCCATCCATACCAACCAGGTTTCCCAAACTAAATTAGTCCCATTTGCCTGCGTTTGGCCCATATCTCTCTAAACCTTTCCCGTTCATTTATCTATCCAAAGGTCTTTTAAATGTTCCCCACAACGGTGACTGTGGGAAATAGGAGGACTAGGCCATTTGGCCCTTTGAGCCTGCTCCACCATTCAAAATGGTCATAGCTGATCATTCAACTCAGTCCCCTGTTCCCACTTTCTCCCCCATATCCACTGATCCCTTTAGCCCTAAAAAATACATCCATATCCTTCTCGAAATCATACAATGTCCGACCTCGACCGCTTTCCGAGACAGAGACTTCCACAGGCTCCCCACTCTCTGGGTGAAGACACTTCTCATCTCAGTCCTAAATGGCCCACCCATATACTTCAACTATGACCCCTAGTCTCATAAGTCTGAGTCATCAGGAACATCCTTCCTGTGTTGAACCTGTCTAGGCTTGAGGCAAAGACTTCCACAGGCTCATCACCCACTGGGTAAAATGAAATACACTTTGTAATGTATCAAAAATGTTTAGTTGACTGTAAATCATTCGGAAGCAACCCGGAGGTCACAACAGGTGCTATACAAATGCTGGTCTTTTCTCTGCCGTTCCTACAGTCACGACAAACCGCAGCTTGAGAAAGGTTGTTTCGACAAATTATCTCTCACTTTCCTTTTTTCTTCTTTCATTATCCTCTCTCGATTGCTGTGAATGTTCCACTGAGTCAGACATGTGGGAACCAGCTCCCTTTTGATGGAGCTGTTCATTATGAGGCTCTCGGAACTCCATTTGTTCAAAGCCGTGATTTAAAATTAATATCAAATACTGACTGATGAATTATCCGCCTTTCAGCATAGTTTCAGGACTGCACCATTAGCTGTTTATATGCTTCACACCCTCCACATGCAGGACTTTGCAAATGTGTTGGTATAATTATTCTGCTTCAATTATTAAAGTGGAAAATTGGCTATTTTCCACTCAGTGCCTCACAACAAGCTCGTCATATTCAGGTCAAATAAACACAATCTTTGCTGCATAAGCAAAGGGGAGAGCCGCATGGAGGTAAACCATCAAACTCTGAACCTAAAACAGAATGGCCATTCGAATTTTAATTTTTCAATTTGCTTATTGCCCAGAGGGCATTAAGAGCCAACTACCTTGTATCTGGAGTCATACGCAGTATTTTATATATGTTTTAAGATCATGCATGTTTGAGTTTGTATTTTTGCATTTGAACTAGTGACATAAGGGTTTTCTGCACCTGAAGGGGTTTAAATGATTAATGCTTAAGTATATTTATATTTCTTTTTAAACATTTTGAAAGATAGCCTCCAAGAATTAATAGGTTTTAGTCTATCTCCAGAGAATTAATGAGTGAATGAAATGCATAGTGTAGTACATTAAGGTTCTGGACTTTTTAAGTTTAGGGAACACCCAACATCTTGGAGAGAAGCCTCTTAGTTTTAGTTTCAGTTTTGGGTAGTTCTGCAGGAGACTGAACTGAAACTGGACATGTAAACCAATTACTCGAGAAAGGGAGAGCTAATTTAGATTTATGAGAAGTGTTACCTCATCAATATGGAGTTTAGCAATAATTCCAGACCAGAAGTGCTTGAGCAAAACTCTGAAGGGGTTATTGGAAGCTGAGAAAGTTGGAGCCTTTGTACACCTGAGCTTTAAAAAAAAAAGGCCATTGGGTTCTCCAGGTTGAGAGTTGAAGCCACAGTTAAATTTAGCCTAATGGAAGTGATAGAGAAGGAGATTCTCTCTGCTACAAGTACTGTAAAGAGATGTATTGTGATCTGTAAAGGAGCGTTGTTAGAAACTGTAAACGAGAGTTATTTGATTAAAAAAGTTTAAACTTTATCGTGTTTCCCCAAATCTTTAAATTTGTGTTATATGCATGAAGTTTGGTTTATTCTATTTTATATTCATTACTTTACCCACTAGAGGAGCATTTCCACTTCTGTTTTATTAAAGAACTCTCTCTGGTCGTAAAAATCTTCATTAACGTAAAAAGGTCAACTCTTTTGTGAAATCCAAAAACGATTTAAAAGGGATTTTTTTCAAAGTGCAACAGCTCAATTTGCAATCAATTGCTAATGCTAAATTAACACACTGAAATGTTAATCCATACTTGTAAGTAACTAACGACAAACTGGGATTAGGTATTTCATTGCTTTTTCAGCACTGGGCAAGGCTATTCAACTCAGCTGGCTCATGAGAGTGGGTCCGCTCCCCATCACCGTATCCTTCTAATCCATTCTCCCTCGTGTGTTTCTCTGGCTGCCTTGCAATGGATGCACTGGGCACAGCAGCAAATGCTGAGGATCCCAACCCTACCCTGTAGCCAGGCTCCCCATCACCAGCTGGCAAAATGACTCATGATAGATGGGCTGAACACTTAGGCACATGACTGCGTTCAAGTCAGCATCTGACCATAACTTGTAGGCGCAGATTTAGGCCATTTGGCCCATTGAGACTGCGTTACCATCCGATCACAACTGAGACGTTTCTCAATCCCATTCTCCTACCTTCTCCCTGTAACCCTTAATCCCTTTACTAATCAAGAACCTCTCTCTGTCTTAACTACACTCAATGACTGGGCCTCCACAGCTTTCTACATCAATTGGCTCCCCAGAGTCACCACCCTCTGGCTGAAGAAATTCCTCCTCATTTCAGTTCTAAAGGGTCGGACCTTTACTCAGAGGCTGTGCCCTTGGGTCCTAGTCTCTCCAATGAGTGGAAACAACATCTCCACTTCCAGGAGTTATAACGTCCTCCCGAAACGCACCCAACGCCGGCTACTCCTGAGTTCCATCAAGTGAAGATTTTGGAGTGGCTCCTTAATAACTCATAACACACAAGATAGCTCCAGCAGGACTGTCCTCACCTTCAGCTCATCCCTTATTTGCTGCCAAGGTTATAGATGGGATAATAATCTGCATTTATGTGGTGCCTTTATTGCTGCACCCTATCTCCCAATATGCTTCAGAGGAGCGTTTTCAAATAAAATTTGACACTGAGCCACATGGGGAGATTAGGAAAGCAGATCACAGGTTTTTATTTTAAATAAAAAAATGTGGGGCAGACCCACAGAAAGGCTAGGGGAAGGGAACTTCGGGTAGAGTCATACAACATGGAAACAGACAGACATCCACGCTGACCAGAAATTGCAATCTGATCTAGTCCCATTTGCCAGCATTTGGCCCATATCCCTCTAAACCCTTCCTATTCACGTACCCATCCAGATGCCTTTTAAATCTTGTAATTGTACCAGTCTCCACCACCTCCTCTGGCAGCTTATTCCATACACACACCACCCTCGACGTGAAAAAGTTATCCCTTAGGTCCCTTTTAAATCTTTCCCATCTCACCTTAAACCTATGCCCTCTATTTTTGGACTCCCCCACCATGGGCAAAAGGTTTTGGCTATTCACCCTACCCATACCCCTCGTGATTTTATAAACCTCTATAAGGTCACCCTTCAGCTTCCAATGCTCCAGGGAAAATAGACCCAGCCTATTCAGCCTCTCCTTATAACTCAAACCCTCCAACCCCAGCAACAGCCTGGTAAATCTTTCCACACCCTCTCAAGTTTAACACTATCTTTCCTATAACAGGGAGACCAGAATTGACCGGATCTTGTGGTCCTGGCAACGAAAGCACCGAGATGTCAATGGCAGCAGAGTAAATAAAACCGGGGAAGGGATAGAACCCAAGGATGGTTACTTCACCCAGAGAGTGGGAAGCCTGTGGCATTCTCTATCACAGAAAGCGGTTGAGGCTAAAACATTATGAATGATTTCAAGGAGGAGGAAGTGGACACTGTTCTTAGGGGTAAAGAGGGGGGAGAAAAAAGAGGGGCGGGGGGGGGGAAAAAGGGTGGGGGGGAACAGGGAACTGAGTTGGATAAGCAGCCATGATCACACTGAATGGGGGAGCAGGCTTGAAGGGCTGAATGGCCTATAGCAGCTCCTAATTTTGATGTTTCTATTACAGCACAGGAGGAGGCCACTTAGCCTTTCGTGTCTGTGCTCACCCTCTAAAGGAGAGTGTCACTGGGTGCCCATAAAGTTCAGGAGTAGGCCATTTGGCCCCACTAGCCTGCTATCCCACTCCCCTAATGCCCACTTTTCTCTCGTTGAGAGGGTCCATCTTACCTCGTTGATGAAGTCTCCGATGTCACCGGGGTGAGGGGCGGCAGAGCGGACAGGATACTGAGGCTCAGCATGAATCGGCCGTTCGTCCACTCGCCGGATCCCAATGGGTTTGATTGCATCGGGTTCTACCGCATCAGGCTGTTGGAGCTGGCTCAGGTCATAATCCTGTCAAAGCAATGGATCACCCTCAGGTAGTGTCCCACTGGGCGCAGTAACCCTGCCCTCACACCCCACCCCCGTCACCCCGCCTTCCTCCCCCCGCACCCTCACTCCCCCCCCCCGTCACCCCGCCTTCCTCCCCCTGCCCCCTCACTCTCCACCCATCACCCCGCCTTTCAAACACCCAGCTCCACCACTTGCAGCCTCCTTGCATACATTGCCCCTCCCCTCACTCCATGCTCCCACCACTCACTCCCCGGCCCTCCCCCAACTCCATAATGTCCCCGTCACTTCCTGACCCAACCCTCCCACTCACTCCCTGACCCCCTGCACACTCCCTGACCTTGCCACTCCCCGGCCCTGCCCCCACTGCTCAATCCCCCTGCAAAATTCTCCCCGCCCGCTCCCCAACCACACCCCCATCCCTCCCCGCCCACTCCCCAGCCCTCCCCCCTCACCTGATCTTCCTCACCACCTCCCTCCTCATCATATTTCAGGATGTTGTCCCTCACATCATCCTCTGGATCAATGAGTAATTGCTTGGCCTGGCGTTCCTTGTCACGTCTCTTCATCCAGATGACAAACAGCAAGACTAAGACTGCAAGGAAGAAAAGAAAAACAAAACTTGAATTGTGATAGCGCCTGTTGCAACCTTTATTTCCCCCTCCCAGAAGGATGAGTGTTGTTGGAACTTCCTTCCTCAAAAAGCAGTGGAAGCAGAATCTATAAGTGTCTTTAAGGAAGAGGTAGATAGATTCTTGTAGATCAAGGGGATGAAGGATTATTAGGGAAATGTAGGAATACAAAGTTGAGGTTAAAATCAGATCAGCCACGATCTTATTGAATGGCTTGATGGGTCGAATGACCTACTCCTGTTCCTTGTTTATGTATCTACGTAACCTCTGGATGCCCCAAAGTGTTTTATAGCTAGGGCAGGGGAGAGTTTACCACTGACCAGAAACTGAACTGGGCCGGCTGTATAAACACAGTAGCTACAAGTTTGTCAGTAACTGGAAATCCTGCAGCAACTAACTCACTCCCGATTCCCCAAACTCTTCCACAAACAGCAGTGGATACTGAACCAGTTGTTAATTTTAAATCGGAGAAAGAATTTTTTTTTTTGTTATACAAAGGTATTACCGGGTATGAGCCAAAGGCAGGTGTATGGAGTTAGGTTACAGATCAGTCATGATCTCAGTGAATGGTGGAACAGGCTCGAGGGGCTGAATGGCCTACACTTGTTCCTGTATTCCCACATCCATCAGCTACAAGGCACAAGTCAGGAGTGTGATGGAATATTCCCCACTTGCCTGGATGGGTGCAGCTCCAACAACACTCAAGAAACTCGATACCATCACGACAAAACAACCCAATACTATTTTATCCAAAAGATATTATGGATGGGCAATAAGTGTTGGCCGAGCCGGCGACTCCCATATCCATTGATAGAATTAGTTTTTTTTTTGCAAATCTGAGTACAGTAACAGTTGTAACTTGTTCAGCCAATTTGCAGTTATTTTGCAGAAACAATGAGAACAATCAGGTCAGCTATTTCAATGTGTTGACTCAGGATAAACAGTGGTCAGCGCATCAAGATAAATCCCATGATCTTTATTCTACGAAATGGCTCGCGTATGAATCAACTACGTTGCTGTGGGCGTGAACCAGACTAGGTACAGACGGCAAATTTCTTTCCCCAAAGGGAATTAGTCAACCAGATGGGTTTTTATAACAATTGATGATAGTTTCATGGTCACCATCCCAGAGTCTAGCTTTCAGTTTTGGACTTATTAACTGAATTTAAACTCCACCAGGCAGTGGCATTGTGGTGCTGTAGTCAAGAATCCCAGGCTAATGTTCTGGGGACATGGTGAAATTTGAATTCAATAACATTTGAATAGAGAGCTGGACGAATATTGACCATGGAACCACTGGTGATTAGCAGCAAAAAAAAACACACCTGAAATCACTGATAGTAGGAACTGCCGATGCTGGAGAATCTGAAATAACAAGGTGTAGAGCTGGATGAACACAACAGGCCAAGCAGCATCATAGGAGCAGGAAGGCTGACGTTTCGGGCCTAGACCCTTCATCAGAAGAATCTGGACCTTTTCTGAATCAGTAATGTCCTTTAGGGAAGGAAATTTGCCATCTTTACCTGGTCTGGCCTACACGTGACTCCAGGTCCACAGTGATGTGATTGACTCTTAACTGCCTTCTGGGTAATTGAGGTTAGACACATCAAACATTAGCAAATAAGAAAACACCTCAGTGCAATGTGCATCCAGGTCCCAGGAGCAGGGCTTAGGCCCATGGATTACCAGTGCGACTGTCACTACATCGCCAAATCCCCAACCTCTTCTTCAAAACAACACGCTTCCACCAAAGGTGGAAGATGGTGGCTGTGGGCATGAGGGAGCGGGGGAGGGGGGAGCAGTTTTACCTTCATATAGCACCAAAGTGTTCCCTCAGGACTACCACAAGTATGGCAACCAAGGATTGCTGTGCTGTCTATGGAGAGGAACACAAGCTGACTTGGTGCTGAGAGTACCATACTATAGGTGATGAGCTGCCTTCTTGAACCACTGCAGTCCACCTGCCGTAGTTAGACCCACAATCCCCTTTGGAAGGGAATTCCAGGATTGTGACTCAGCAACACCAAAGGAACAGTGATATATTTCCAAGTCAGGATGGTGAGTGGCTTGGAGGGGAACTTGCAGGGGATGGTGTTCCCATGTATCTGCTGCCCTTGTCCTTCTAGATGGAAGTGGTCGTGGGTTTGGAAGGTGGTGTCTGAGGATCTTTGGTGAATTTCTGCAGTGCATCTTGTAGATGGTACACACTGCTGCTACTGAGCGTCGGTGGTGGAGGGAGTGAATGTTTGTGGATGTGGTGCCAATCAAGCGGCTGCTTTGTCCTGGATGATGTCAAGCTTCTTGAGTGTTGTTGGGGCTGCACCCATCCAGGCAAGTGGGGAGTATTCCATCACACTCCTGACTTGTGCCTTGTAGATAGTGGGACAGGGCTTTGGGGAGACAATAGCTGACATCATCGACACTCTCAGTTGGAACTCTCCCAGAATTGAATTCTAATACTTTGTTGCTTCAGCAACGTTTCTGCATCACTACATCAATCTCCTTCAGCATCTCAATTTCCCCCACCCCGCACCCATAGAGGCTTACAGCATGGATACAGGCCATTCGGCCCATTGTGTCCGTGCTAGTCATCAACCATCAATCTACTCTCGTCCCATTTTCTAGCACTTGGTCCATAGCCTTGTATGATTTTATTGCTTCAAGCCATCAGCTAAATATTATGTAAATGTTGAGAGGGTGTCTGCTTCTACCAGCAGTGAGTTCCACCCTCTGGGTGCAGAAGAACCAAACTGGAACCCTCCAGAATGACAAGCAGTGGGTGATTCAATCCTTGTTTAACTGCTCATGGCCCGACTACAGGCTTATCATCGGAGGGAGGAGATGAGCCGAACTGCGTGTGAACGGTTACTGGGTACTCACTGAGCAGGATGATGATGCACAGCAGAATGGCAATGATAGCCCCAGTTCCCAAGCCAGCAGCAACAATCGCTTGGACCGATGTACAGTCACCGTTTTCATCACACGGGCAGACTTTGACAAGGAGAACCGAGGTGGCAGACATGGGAGGGTTTCCAGAGTCCATGATCATTATAGGCACGTCATAAATGCCATCATCAAGGATTCCAATCTTCAGTCTCAACTGCGCATAATCACCTAAACAAAACATTGTGAGCTGTGTGAGAACTCAAGTCGGTAAACTCACCTCCCCCCCCACCCCACCATAACTATACAAAAGCAGGGGCACTTTGTCACAAAACCGTGCAGCGTGCCGTACTCCTGGCTTTTACAGAAACGCGCGGGCCCGTTCTCCCGCACAGAAACGCCAGGCTCACCACTCAGCCGAGTTATGGTCCAGTTCCTCCTGATGTCTCCCGGGCTGTCGGGGAGCTCGAAGGCAAATGGTCCCGTGTTCGGGTCGATGTCGGCGTCGGTGGCGGTGATGTTGATGGCATTTGGATCCGGCTTCTCGCAAATGGAAACCTCCTCGGGGAAGATCTGTGGCGCGTTGTCATTGATGTCGAGCAGGTAGATCTGGAGGGTGCCTGTCCCACTTGCTGGGGGGATGCCTGGAGAACAACAAGAGGAGGTCATTAACAAAGCCAGTCCTTCGCAACCCACACACTTCCTTTCCCTCCTCTACCCCGTCCCACTTTGCAAATGACACACTCATGACTTCAGCCAACTTAATCTGTGGAATATTGACATTTAGACAAATTCTCAAACATTGGCAGAACTTTGTAAAACTATTTTTCTTAACAAAAAGGTATTTTTAAGCAGCAGCCTTTTCAGCACTGCAGGCTGAAATGATATTTCTATAATTGAGCTAGTGTTAAAGCAAATCATCAACATTCATACAAACAGCACACAGCAGATGGCAGTGTGTCAGAGAGATTAGACTCTGCAGGCAAGTTCCTCATTCATCTCCATCCTGAGGAGCATTAATGTTCCTTGCACCATATGTGATTACACTCCCAGCAAAACAAATTGCAAGCTGAAAATCAGCACATCGCTTCCAATTGTTCGTCCTTGAACACGTGTCTCCAAAGAGATTGCACAAAGCACAAACTATAACAACAAGCCCACAGCACAACACAACCTTATTCCCACTCACACTGTCTCCAATCGCATCGGAACCAATCTGTAAAAAATTGCAGAGCACGGTTAAACCTTTAATTAACTTCTTCACCCAGCTAACTTCACCCGCTTTCTTTGTTCTTCAAACTGGTTGATTGGTCACACAAATATCATTGTGAAGGTTGACAGAGATTTATAGCTCATTCCATGCTCTGAGCAGAGCTCACATGCCTCATTCCCCAGTGCACACTGTCACTCTAATCTTAAATCATCATCATTAAGGTTCAGTACTTCAGCTCAGCAGCTTGGTGGTGAGCTGTCTTCTTGACCTACAATGCCCGGAGGGAGGGAATTCCAGGATTTTTGCCCAGTGACTCCGAAGGAACGGCGATATATTTCCAAGTCAGGATGGTGAGTGGCTTGGAGGGGAACTTGCAGGGGGTGGTGTTCCCATGTATCTGGTTTGTCACAAGCATCAAGTTGTGTCCCATGATCTAGACTCCCCAGCCAACAGAAACATCTTATCTGCATCTCCCATGCCTACCCCTTGAAGAATTTTAGAGGTTTCTACGAGACCACCTCGCATTTTTTTCTGGTGAGTACAGGCCCAGTTTGCCCAATTTCTCTCAATAGGTCAATCCCACCATCCCAGGAACAAGTCTGGTGAACCTTGATTGCAATTCCTCTGTGACAATAATATCCTTCCTGAGATAAGGAGACCAAAACTGCACACAGTACACCAGGTGTGGGTCTAACCAAGCTCCTGTACTATTGAAGTAAGACTTTACTGCTCCTGTACTCAAATCCTTTTGCAACAGAGGTTAACATTCCATTAGCCTTCTTGATAACATGCTACACCTGTATGTTAGCTTACACAGATCACCTAGGTCCCTTCATCTACACTTTCCAACCTCTTACTATGTAAGTAATGTTCTGTACAGCTATTCTTCATTCCAAAGTGGATAACCTCACATTTTTTCATCTTCAATGTCTTTGTCCACTCACTAATCCTGCCCAAATCTTCCTGAAGCTGCTTCACACCTTCCCCATGACACACAGTCTCACTCAGCTTTGTGAATTTGGAAATACAACATTTTGGTCCCCAATCACTGATCTTATGATGAGCAGCTGGGGCCTAAGCACCGATCCTTGTGGTCCCCCGTCAATGTGAGAATGACCCATTTATTCCGACTCTCTGGGTAAGAGAGAGAGAAGACAAATCATCGATCCACGCCAGTACATTACCCCCTGTACTGTGTGTGTTAATTTTGCTATGCAACCTTCTGCGGGAGACTTTATCAAAAGCCTTCTGTAAATCTAAGTGTACTATATCCTCTTTATCAATTTTGTAAGTAACATCCTCAAAAAGCTCCCACGAGTTTGTTAAATACAATTTTCCCACGTGCAAATCCTTGCTGACCATGCCCAATCCGATCATTTTTACCCAAGTGTCACATCCTTTTGACTAGATCCTGGTATCTTCCAGAGTACTGACGGAAGGCTAACAGGTCTAGAACAAAGAACAATATGGCACAGGAGGCAGCCCTTCAAGCCTGCGCTGACACATTCTGCCCTCCCACACTAAAACGGTCTTCACTTACAGGATCTATACCCCTCTATTCTTTTCCTATTTATGTATTCCCTGTTGTCTCTTTCTCTCTCTCTCTCCCTCCTTCAATTAAAGGGTGACATTTGCAACCTTCCAATTGCAGGGAGCATCTCAGACCTCAGTTTTGGAAGATGATTATCAATGCATTGACTTTATCCAGAGCTGCCCCTTCCAACTGAGTATCACGCCAAAGATAAAAGGGGGCTAATAGGTAATGTATGTAAGTTAGGATTAGGCCTTTGGCCCTTGCAACCAAACTGTCACCAAGGTCACATTGTAACCTCAACTCTACTCTTTAGCCTCACACACCAATCCCCGGCCAGTGACTCATTGTCAAATCAAAAACTCAGCCTTGAATGGACTCTATGACTCAAGACCCAACTGCTTTCTGTCAAAGAGAATCCCAAACATTACAGATTCAGAAAAAAAGAATCCCTTCTCACCTCTGCCTTAAAATGGACACCACTTTTTTTTTTTTTAAAACATTGTGTCTTCTGGAACCCCCACCATGGGGAACATCCCCCAATATCTAACAAGGTCCATGGGATATCCTGGAATTGGGGGTGACCACTGAGGCTGTTCGACAGGGATCCTTCACTTTTGGCGCTGAGATTCTTTATCCAAGGTTTAGTTCTCCCAGAGGGGGTGATGGCATTGCTGGGACACAGGACGTAGTGCAAGGGGATTGGAGGACAGGGCTAGTCATGAATGGCCACCTGCTCTGGTGTGGAGCCCATCTGATACCCAATCAGGGCTCTTCCTGACCCTCTCTTCCAGGGACTGCAAGAGATGTCTCTGGGCCACAGCCAGGGCCAGTACACACCCCTGCCCTGGGATGGAGGGACTGCCTTATGAGCAAAAGCTAAACAGGTTGGGACTCTACTCCCTGCAGGTTAGAAGAATGAGAGGTGATCTCATTGGAATGGACAGGATTCTTAAGGGGCTTGACAGGGTAAATGCTGAGAGGGTGTTTCTCCTCATGGGAGAGTCTAGGACCAGAGGGATATAGACTCAGAATAAAGGGATGCTAATTTAAAACTGAGAGGAGGAGGAATTTCTTCTCTCAGCGGGTTGAGAATCTTTGGGACACCTTGCCGCGGAGAGCTGTGGGGGCAGAGTCCTTGTGTAGATTTAAGGCTGAGATCGATAGATTCAGGGATATGGGGAAAGGGTAGGAAAGTGGACCCAAGGAATGTTGGATCAGCCAAGATCCTATTGAAAGGTGGAGCAGGCTCTGGGGTGGGGGGGTGTGCAAACAGCCTAGCCCTGCTCCTTAGGGTCTCTGAAGGCCCAGACTCCCCCAGAGGGCACGGAGGTATGGCTAAGACACAAGGTCAGCACTTCCCAATCCATTTTGGGTCCCCATTAATGACCCCAGTTTCAAGGGCACACAGGTAGATGTTAAATTGCAGACATTCTCTCTGATCCCAGTCTCCAGCCAGTTCCTTAGAGGGGCTCATGTCGAGTCAATTAAAGACAGTTTGATGAAAAAACTAACAGGAGAGAATTATTCTGCATATATACGCAGGACCTTTTAATATTTTTAATGCAGAGGTGAATAGGTTTTTGATTCCGAAGAGGATGAAAGATTATTGGGACTATGAAGGAATGCACAGCTGAGGTTAAAACCAGTCTTGATCTTATCGAACAGCACAGCAGAGTCAAAGGGCCGAGTGGCTTTCTCATGAATGCATTCATAAGACAATATTGCTGTGATGACTAGAAACACTTAATAACTCCTCAGTTGAGGCATTCAAGAGGAACATTGGCTGATTATTTAGGTGGAAATGGTAAGCAGGGATATGGAGAAAAAGACAGCAGATTGGCACTAGGGGATAGAACCAGCGCAGGCACAACAAGCTGAATAGCCTCCTCCTGTGCTGTCGCTCTGGGAACCCCTGGACCTTGTGGGTTGCCGGTGTGCAGGGGAGAACCGGGACGTTTTAAATAAGAAATAACCGCAAAAATTTGGTTGACTGTGACAAATGTAAGGAAAGAACTGAACACCGGAGAGACAAACAAGATTCTGATCTCAACTGATAAACACAAAGGCTGGTCCACATCATTTAAATTGCTCAACTTGGGAGAGACTGGAATGACCTTTGAACCATTTCATCAGTGCCGCTGTGATCTTTAAATTTGCCGAGTAACGAGGTCAAGACACAAAACAAAACAGGAAGGGAAGAAGAGATTAGCACATAATTTGTTTAGCTGACCCCATGCAGCAATGCAGCACATACCACTGTCTGATGCCAGGAACGTTGCATTGTACATGTTATTTTTAACGTAAGGGGACTCGCGATCCAGTGTGGCGATGGTGGTGACTTGACCTCTGATTGGATCAATTTTGAGCCAGTTTGCTGGATCCGACAACTTCGAGTATCTACAATGAGAAACCACAAGTGCATTAAGATTAGGCGGCGATCACTTACTCGTCAACGCCAACACTCTAACTACACGCACAGGAACACTGCCCCGACTGTGCGCGCACCAGCGACCACACTGGCATCTGGATGGGGTGTGGGATTGCTCTGTTTTCGATGGCGAAGGGGGCTGGGTGAGGGAGAGTGAGAGATAGACAGCATCACAGGAACTAGGAGCAGGAGTTGGCCATTCAGCCCTCTGAGCCCATGGCTATCCACATTCCCAATTTCTCCCCGTGCCCCTTGATCCCTTTAAATTCTAAAAAAAATAAAGTGATCAATCTCGTTATCCCCAGCGATTTGGCCTGCACAGCCTACTGTGGTGGAGAATCTCTCAGGTTCATCAGCTCTTCGAAAGGCCGAAACAGTTACTCAGTCCCATCTCTGTCAGCTCTACCCCCTGCCGCCCTGAAAACATGCCCTTTTCTGGAAGAGCTATATCATTGCCCAACCCGACATTTAAAAAAGCATTATGTTGGAAAAAAAATACTCTTGAGAACACAAAGCATTACAAGGAAACATGATTTGGGCACCAGACCAGGGTGCTATTTTGATTCCTCTATGAAGTCTGCAGAGTTTAGTGAAAACAGATTTCTTGCCTTTACAAAGAAACATTAAAACTCATGATGGAAATGTACTGTTGTGGGCTCAGGGTAAGAATTCCACAAACACAGGGTTGGAACTGTCGGTTCTACAGTTAATTCCTGACTCTTTGGAGGAGTTTACAGTCATCGCTTCAAGTAGCCTAGGCCCTAGTGTCAAATCCTTATCGGAGTGAAGGGTCTCGAAACGTTTCACTGCGTTAAAGAGTGGCCTACATCAATGCAAGGGCATGCTTCAATCAACAACTTGGGCCCAGTTGGTTGAAAGGGGCGTTTGTGCATTGGGGTTGGGGGGGGGGGGGTCGGTCAGAACTTGGCGCAGGTTGTTCCAAAAATAGGCCCCAGGTTGAAAATCTGAGGCAGGAATCGAAAGTTCTGGAAACTTTCCACAGGTTAGGCCGGAGAGAGAAATACAGAGTTCACCTCTCAGGCCAAAGAATTCAGTTGAAAAGTGATGGAGCTGAAATATTTACTCGTTTTTTTTATCCCCCCAGCCACCATAGATCAGCTGGGATTCCCAGAGAAATTCATTTGGTTTCTAATGCAAAATTAACTTTCACCAAGTGTTGTTGACTTAGACAAGCCGGTTTAGAAACAAGAAACCACACTAGATAATCACAATACTTCTCTCGTCAAATAAAAAACAGCTTTCCCAATTAGAGTCATAGAGATGTACAGCACAGAAACGGGCCCTTTGGTCCAACTCGTCCATACTGACCAGATATCCTAAATTAATAGAGTCCCATTTGGCCCATATCCCTCTAAACCCTTCCTATTCATATTCCCATTCAGATGCCTTTTAAATGTTGTAATTGTACCAGCCTCCAGCAGCTCATTCCATACACGCACCCCTCAGGTCCCTCTTATATCTTTCCCCTCTCACCTTAAACCTGTACCCTCTAGTTTTGGACTCCCCCACCCTGGGGAAAAGACCTTGGCTATTCACCATGTCCATGTCCCCCATGATTTTATAAACCTCTAAGATCAGCCTTCAGCCTCCGACGCTCCAGGGAAAAAAGCCTCAGCCTATTCAGCCTCTCCTTATATCTCAAACCCTCCAACCCTGGCAACATCCTTGTAAATCCTTCTGCACCCTTTCAAGTCCAACAACATCTTTCCTATAGCAGGGAGACCAGAATTGCTCGCAGTATTCCAACAGTGGCCTTGAATGGAGCTGGTAGAGAGGACAAGTCAGCCACTGGGTATGTGCATTGACCTATATGGTCTCATGGTTCAGCAACGACAAGTTTAACATTCTCACCGTCTCTTCCAATTCTACAGCCCTTAGCCTTCTCTGCATTGTGTTATACGGGTCTTTGCGTTTTAATTGTTCATCCATGAGAATCTATGACTCTAAGCTCTGGTACTCTCTTCCTGAACCCCTCTGGTGATCTCCACCTCCGTCTCCCTTCAAAATGCTCTTAGACCCTCTGTCTCTTCCGCCCATCCGTATGGAGATAGGAGTCAAGTAGGCCCACTCAGCCCCTCAAGCCTGTTCCGCTATTTATCTAGATCATGGGTGATCTTCTACCTCAGCATCATTTCTCTGCGGTAACCTCATATCTCACGAAACCTTTGATACACTGTGATACACGGGGAGACAATGGCCTAGTGGTATTATCACTGGACTGTTAACCCAGAGACCTAAGTAATGTTCTGGAGACCCAGGTTTGAATCCCGCCATGGCAGATGGTGGAATTTGAATTCAATAAATATCTGGAATTAAGAGTCTAATGATGGCCATGAATCCATTGCTGATTGTCAGAACAACCCATCTGGTTCACTAATGTCCTTTAGGGAAGGAAACTGCCATCCTTACCTGGTCTGGCCTACATATGACTCCAGACCCACAGCAATGTGGTTGACTCTGAACTGCCCCCTGGGCAACTAGGAATGGGCTATAAATGCTGGCCTAGTCAGTGACACCCTCATCCCTTAAATGAATAAAGAAACAAAAAATCTATCATTCTCTGGAAATCCTCAATGCCTGAGCCTTCATGGGAATAGTTTCCTTGGTTTGGCATCAACTTTTGTCAATTGACACTCCTTCAGCTGCACCATCGCTCCATTGTAAGGTCAGAATGGCAAGATTCGCTGGTTCTGCACAGTCAAGAATCCCACTGGTATTGAAGCAGTCTGTGCCCAAATACAGAAACGTCTTGTGGGGGAGGGGGCTGGAGAACATGTTACTTGCAAATAAAAGCCAACCTGTGACCATCTCCAACCCACCATCACTCTACGGTGTTCAATGGCATCACCATCGCAGAATCACCCCACTGTCAACATTCTGGGGGTTATCATTGACCAGAAACTCAACTGGACTCGCCATATAAATATGTGACTACAAGAGCAGGCCAGAAACTAGGAATCCTGCAGTGAGCAACTCACCTCCTGACTCCCCAAAGCCTGTGCACCATCTACAAGGCACAAGTCAGGAGAGTGATGGAATACTCCCCACTTGCCTGGATGTGTGCAGCTCCAAATCACCCAGGACTAAATACCCTGTGACTGACACTATACTGAACACCTTCACCCTGAGTAATGTTAGATAGAACCAACCCCCCTCCTCAAGCCATCCCAGCATCCTAGACATCCTTCCTTCAGTAATTGATTGACACCCCACCCACACACACATCCACCACTGACGCTCAGTAGCAGCAGTGTGTACCATCTACAAGATTCACTGCAGAAATTCACCAAAGATCCTCAGACAGCACCTTCCAGACCCACGACCACTTCCATCGAGAAAAACAAGGACAGCAGATACATGGGAACACCACCCCCTGCAAGTTCCCCTCCAAGCCACTCACCATCCTGACTTGGAAATATATCGCCGTTCCTTCAGTGTCGCTGGGTCACAATCCTGGAATTCCCTCCCTAAAGGCATTGTGGGTCTAACTACAGCACATGGACTGCAGCGGTTCAAGGAGGCAGCTCACCCCCACCTTCTCAAGGGGTAACTAGTACTGGCCCAGACAGGGACACCCATGTCCCACATGTGTATTAAATGGAAGTGGTTGAGAAGGTGCTGTCTGAGGATCTTTGGTGAATTTCTGAAGTGCATCTTGTCGATGGTACACACTGCTGCTACTGAGCATTGGTGGAGGAGGGAGTGTGTGTGTTTGTGGAACCGTTCAGAAACAGAGTTACCAGCTGCCTCTGCCATCTCGGCTATTCAATACTTCGAGGACCTCTCTCTCTCATCATTTTTAGTTCCGTGAAATACTAGCTTCATAACAGTGAATAAATATTCATGAGCCATTCACCGCTTTGGGCTAAAATATATATTGCACCATCAGAATTTAATTGGAGAGGAAATGGCATTGTGCGACACATTTCAAATATAATGACCCTTCCTCCTGGAAATTGGTTACTTACTGGGCATTTTCTTCTCTATTATGAAAGAAGATGACAATGCAGCATACACAACTCTATTGCATCTTTCGGTGATGGATAAAAGACATATACAAAATGGAAGTTTATGAAGACACAGTGATAGGAGCTTGCTAATAGGGTCTAACTATCAATGATGTGAGACACGGGGTACCTTGACAAGAACAAAATGGTGAGAAACATTACCATGTGAATTAGCAAGAGTAGGAGGCCAGTTGGCCCTTCGAGCCTGTTCGACTGTTCAATGAGATCACGGCTGATCTGTGGCCTAATTCCATACACCTGCCTTTGGCCCATATCCCTGAATACCTTTTCTTAACAAAGAACCCACTATCTCGGATTTAAAATTAACAACTGATCAAGAATCAACTGCCATTTGTGGAAGAGTTTCAAACCTCTACCACCCTGTGTGAGGGAGTACTTCCTACCTCGAATGACAACCCCACCGTCACAGGGAATAAAACTGTAAGGCATTGGGGCAGAAGGCCAATCAGCCCATTTAGTCTAGCCCCAACAGCCTTTGGTACCCTCGGATAACAAGAGCCCGTCCAGCCCTCTTAAAAAAAAATACCCACTGACACTGCATTCACTGCCTTCTGAAGCAGACAGCCTTGAGAGAGAGTTTAAAAAATTCCCCACCTCTGCATTGTGTAGTTCTAGTCACCACACTCTAGGCAAGACAAACCTGGATTGTTTCTGCAAAAGTGTCAGAAGCTTTTTTTTTGGGGTTGGGGGAGTGGGGTGCGGGGGAATGCTGAATGATACTTACAAAATTCAAAGAGGCATGGATAGGGTGGATAGTGTCTCTCAGGGTGGAAATGAGGGGGCATAGGTTTAAGGTGAGAGGGGGACGAGTTTAAAGGAGATGTGCAAAGCAAGTATTTCTTGTTGCTTTACACAGAGGGTGGTCGGTGCCTGGAAGAAGCTGCCAGAGGAGGAGGTAAAGGCAGATACAATAGCAATGTTTAAGAGGCATTTAGACTGACACGTGAGCAGGCAGGAGGGACATGGACCATGCGCGGGCAAATGGTATTAGTTTAGAATTGCATCATGGCCAGCAGAAATGGTGGGCCAAAGGGCCTGCTCCTGCGCTGTACAGTTCTGTTCTACGTTGTTCATTGGAAAATCTCAACCTCGGACTCGAACACGCTGAACTCCTCAATGGTCTCTCCGGCATAGAACTGTGGATTCACGAACCGTGTTCACCTCGGTCTTCAGCTATTCAACCCTTATCCTGACGCTGTGTTCCCCGGTTTGAGCCCCCTTACCATCCTGAAACCCAGCTGCCCAGGGCTAATCTTCCTCCTGCATCCACCCTGGCACCTCCTGCAAGAACTTTCTACGCATCAACAAGGTCACTTCTCATTCCTCAAAATTCTGGGGAATACAGGGCCGGTTTGCTCAATCTCTCCTTTTAAGACAGTCCCACCATCACAGAGAGAGTGACCATGAGACACAGGCCATTCAGTCCTTCGAGTCTGCTCTGCCGTTCAATGAGATCATAGAGGATCTGAGGAGGAATTTGACCAAATCCCCCTCCCACCCTGGGCATTAACTAGCCTTTTGTCCAACGGGATGAATGTAGCCAATCTAACTGGCCATCGAGTATGGTTCGGATTTTGATCGATGTTTGAGTATCGGAAAAGCTTCACTAGTCAAAGAGTGATAGCAACTTCTCTGTCACCCAATACATTCACCATCAATAGTCCTTCCCTAAGGATCTAGAAGATCATAGCTGCTGGCAGCAGATGAGGAGACCAAATGCAGGGGAGGATTACAGTGAAGATAACTGACTGAGAAAATAACCATCCAGAAGTAAATAAAGGAATGGAGCCTGCTCCCCCATGCAAGGAGCAGCTATTTCCAGTATCAGGAGGGTCAGAAACCGGGGAGTCGTCACTGGACTCAAAGCGTTTACTCAGTTTTTCCTCACTCCACAGTCCTGCAGAGTTTGCATGCTTCATTTCAGATCTCTAGCCATCACAGTAGTTTCTTTTTATTCGAGACAGATTGAGCTAATTGGGAAAAGGTGCAGAAAAAGGAGTCACAAAGAATGGTGTTTTATGGAGAGAGTTGGACACGGGACAGAGGCAGACAGAAGGAACACTGTGAAGGTGTAAGGATGAAAGAAGATGCTAACAAAAGAAACAATTCCTCCGAGGATAGATGTTCCCCAGTTTCTGCCTTGTAAGCTTGGGGCAATAAATAACAAACTACAGAAGGAAATAGAAGCCTTTGAAAGTGCTTGAGAATTATACTAGAAATTTCGCATTAAGACCACAAGACAAATGAGGACAGAAACAGAGTTAACGTTTCAGTAATAAAGAAACTGAAGATGAGTCTCTTTTGAAACATTCGATGTTTCTTGGGAGTCTTGACAGGGGAGATGTGGAAAGCTCATTTCTTTTTGTTCTTAAAGACCAGGGAGTCCAGGACCAGAGGCTCACAGTCTAAGGATATGGGGTAGGGCATTTAGGATTGAGATGAGGAGAAATGTCTTCACCCAGAGAGTGGGGAGTCTGTGGAATTCTCTGCCACAGAAAGCAGTGGAGGCCAAAACATTGAATTTTTCCAAGAATGAGTTAGGCATAGGTCAAAAATCACACAACACCACATTATAGACCAATAGGTTTATTTGAAGACAAGCTTTTGGAATCTCGCTCCTTCTTCAGGTGAAGTTCAGAACACAGCTCCAAAAGTTTGCGTCTTCAAACAAACCTGTTGGACTATAATCTGGTGTCGTGTGATTTTTGACCTTGTTCACCTCAGTCCAACACCGGCACCTCCACAGAGTCAGATATGGTTCTTACAGCCAATGGGATCAAAGGGTATGGTAAGAAAGTGGGAACGGGACTGAGTCAGATGATCAGCCATGATTGTACTGAATGGCAGAGCAGGCTCGAAGGGCTGAATGGCCTACTCCTGCTCCTACCTTCTATATTTGTATCAGAGAGGCACGTGTGGCGCCATGATAGTGGATGTCCTGGCAGGTTGGTCTACAAGCAACAGTATCTCAACGTGTAGGGCTTCCCAAAGAGGGACAGTGAGCAGGGGTAGAGTTCCTCTGGCATTGGAAAGGTCAATGAAACTGTGTGCGCATGAATCGTACCTGATCGTCTGCTGCATGTAGCGATCTGGGTCCTCTGCTGTGAAGATGGTGAGGAGTTTGCCCTCAGGTAGGCCCTCTTCCTGCCTGATCAGCTTCGGGTTTGGAACAAAGTACGGGCTCTCATTGAGATCAATAACGGTAATGGATACAGTGGCTGTTGATTGAGGAGGGAGCTGAATGCCTTTTGTCAAAGGCTCCTGATTTACAGCAATGACTGTCAGTACAAAGGCTCTGCTGCTTTCATAATCAATAGGCTGTGGGGAAGGGAGAGAGAAAAACAGGCTTCAAAATGTGCAAAACATTTAAGTCTTCATGCAAACAATGTTTCCATTTTCTTAAAATAAAACACAGTGAAAAGTGACAAAAAACCACCATAAGGTTGTCCAAGCAGGACATAATTAACTCTTAGTGTTCACGTCACAATATCAATGAATTAAAGTTGCACATTAAATATGGAGGAGGTCACCTTTAATGCCTGACCTTTATCTCTTCCCATCAGCACTGCATCCATTCTCCCACACAACCCTGCTTCTGAACAATGTGCTTCGCCAATGTCTTTTTTTTTGTTTAAAAGAAATGTCAAGCTTCCACTCGGTGAGACCTTCAAAATAACACCGTTAATTCCTAACATTGTGCTGGAGAACTTTACAAACCTCTCTTTACAACTGCATTCAAAATGCTCCACAGTCAGCTATTTACTTTTCAGCATGTGCATGTGTACGTGTATGTGCGTGTGCACTTGTGTGTGCATGTGGGAGTGCGTGGTGGGTGCATGTGCGTATGTGCATGCGGTACGCATTTGTGTGTGGAAGTGTAAGCGTGCTTGTGTGCACAAGTGGGCAGTTGTGTGAGCGAGAGTGACAGTGAGTGAGTGCATGCATGTGCATGCGCGCGCATGAGAGGTGTAGCAGCCAACTCGTGCACGGCAAGATCCCACGTGGAAACCTTGTGGTTCAGTGCGGAGGTTCCCTGGGTCCAAGCCAGAAGCTGCAGGTTCGAGACCCAGTCCAGGACCTAAGGAAGGCGTAGTCATTAAACAGTTGAACAGTTCAGTTACCAATCCTTCCAACACAAAGCCAACTGCAGCTGGTAGGAGTAGCACAGATTCCTGGCCATCCATAGAAGATAGGAGCAGGAGTAGGCCATTCGGCCCTTCAAGCCTGCTCCACCATTCATGGTCATGGCTGATCATTGAGCTCAATGCCACAAGCCCATGTCCTTTGATCCCTATAGCTACACAATCTATTTCCACCTCCTTCTTGAAAACACAATGTTTTGGCCTCAACCGCTTCCTGTGGTAGAGAATTCCATAGGCTCCCCGCTCTCTGTGCAAAGACATTTCTTCTCCACTCAGTCTTAAAAGATTTCTCATTTATCCTTAAAATTACATCCCCTGGTTCTGGATTCCCCCACCACCAGGGCCATCCTCCCCACATCCAACCCGTCTACTCCTGTCAGAATGTTATCAGTTCCTTTGACAATCCCCTCCTCATTCCTCTAAACTCCAGTGAATACAATCCTAACTGACCGCGTTTGACGTGGAGTGCTTCCAATCAGACCATAGCTTCGGACTTCAGCCTAGAGACTGGTCCCAAGGGGGCTGAGTGGGGCAAGGTGCCACATTGAAAACTTCGAACACAAGGCAAGAGCATATTGAGCAGGGGGTAATGCATTAGCAGAGATAAAGGTTAGAGCACAGGAAACTGAGAGTTAAGGGTTATATGGTCTTTTGCAGATTGGCAAGTTGTAACTAATGTAGTGTTTCAATGACAGTGCGGGGGCTTCAGTTATTCACAATCAATGGCTTCAACAATCAGGCTGAATATTGGGAGCTAAACTTGGCAATGACACCAAGGTAAGTTTCAAAGTACGTTGTAACACAGAAGAATCTACAAAAGGATGAAGGTAGGTTAAGTGAGTTGGCAAACACTGAGGATTCACTATAATGTGGGCAAACATTAGCTTGTCGGTTTTGGCAAGAATAGGCAAATAGGGAGAGAGATTGAAGAACTCTGAGGTACAGAGGGATCTGGGTGCCCTTATACATGAGTCACACAAAGTTAGTGATTAGGAACGCAAATAAAATGTGAGCATTTATAGCAACCGGAATACAATATACACAGGTAGGGAGGCTTGACTGCAGTTGGTCAGGACTTTGATAAAGCCACATTTGGAGCACTGTTCTGATCTTCTTACTTGGGAAAAAAAGGTTTAATTATGTTAGAGCAAGATAGTTCAGCTCAGTCCTGAGATCAAAAACTTACATAATAAGGATAGGTTGGCAAGATTGGGACTATACCTAGTGGAACTGAGGAATGACGGTTGATCTTATGGAAAAATGTAAAATCCTAAGGGGACTCGAAAGGATGGCTAGCAGGTAGGTTCTGCCTCTTGTCGGGGGAGTCTAGAACTACAGGACACAGCTTTAAGAAGAGCTCTCCCATTTAAGACAGAGATGAGGAGGAATTTTGTACTTTTAATTTTTTTTTTTTTTTTTTTAAAAAAGGTGAGGAGGAAATCCTTTTTTTGCCACACAGAGGGAGAGTCTGGGGGAGTCCTCTTCCCCGGGGTGGCAGTTGAAGTTGGGTAATTTAAGACATTCTAGGCTGAAGGAGATCAATTTTGAGAGACAGGGGTGTCAAAGGGTAGTTTGGGATGGGGGGAGTTAGGCAGAAAGGTGAGACTGAGGCCAGAAGCAGGCGAAGCGGGATTTTAAGTGAAGGTGGCACAGCATTGAAGGACATAAGGACAGCAGGACCATCTGTGCAGAGTTGCCACATTCTGCAGTGTTTCCTCCGGGTGCTCCGGTTTCCTCCCGCAGTCCAAAGATGTACAGGTTGGGGTGGATTGACCATGTTAAATTGTCCCATAGTGCGCAGGGATGTGCTGGCTAGGTGCATTACCCATGGAATCAGGTGGGTCTGGGTGGGATGCTTTTCAGAGAGTCAGCGTGGACTCAATGGGCCAAATGGCCTCTTTCTGTGCTGCAGGAATTAAATGAAAGATCCGGACACAAACCGAAGGGAGGGTTAACGTTTGGGTGGCCCCTTTCAACAATCTCAGAGTCCTACAGCATGGAAACAGACCCTTCGGTCCTACTGGTCCATGCTGACCATAATCCCAAAGTAAACGTAGTCCCACCTGCCGATGCTTGGCCTATATCCCCCTTCAAACCTTTCCAAGTGATGAACTTATCCAATTTCCCATTTAAATATTGTAACTGTACCTGCATCTAACACTTTCTTTGGCAGTTCAATCCAATATGAACCACCCTGTGTAAAGAAGTTGCTCCTCTGGTCTCTGTTTAAATCTTTCTCCTCTGGCTTTATAAATATGTCGCCTAGACCCTGGGGGGCCGGGGGGTGTGGAAAAAGACCTTGGCTATTCACCTTATCTATGCTCCTGATGATTTTATGAGCCCTGATATGGTCACATCTCGGATGAGTGTTGTAGATCTCATACCAGCTCCTAGAGCAGGGGAAGGTGTTCTGGCTAATATTTATTGATCAATAGGTTAACTAATCAATCCTGTACTATGGGTTATGACATCATCAGCCCGAAAACCAAATTAAACTTGCAATGTCCATTGGATACAGGCCTCCATTGCAGAGAGAGGAACATTGGTCTGCGATCAAAGGTGATTATAGGAGCATACATTGGTAGACTACTGGGCTTGTATCGACTCATGTTTAAAAGAATAAAGGGCAGACTAATTAAGATGTTTTAAATGACTGAAGGGAATCCAATCGGATAGATAGAGAAACTCCCGCCTCTGATTTGGAGAGGGAGTAGGAAGAGTCCAGGACACAGAACCCTTTCTGTTTAGCACAGATATTAAAGTTAACAGAATCAAGGCTTTATGTACATTACACAGAGAACAGCCACAATCTAACTGAATGGAGGCTTGATGGGCTGAATGGCCTCTTCCTGTTCCCAGTTAATATTTAGAGGGGGCAGCCAGGGTATAGAATGGCACATTTTATAAATGGATGCAAACCATTTACAGCAGTCTTTTAAAAGCAGGAAAATGACTTGTTTTCAGCAGAAATTTGAATGGATCGCATAGCACAATAAATTTTGGGACAACTTTTGAGAGCCTCACTCCCTAACTCGACTCCACACCCTGATACACAACCAGAAATATTATTGAAACAAGACACTGGAGATCTGCAACAAAAGCAGAAGGTGCAGGTGGAACTCAGCAGGTCTGGTAGCATCTATACAGAGAACACAGAGCTAACGTTTGTCACAGGACTCCAAAGCATTAATGTCTCTCTTTCCACAGATGCCACCAGACCTGCTGAGTTCCTCCAGCACTAAATATTTGAGACAAAAACAGCTTGTTTTTAAAGCCAACTCACCGACGGTCTAAATTCTGAAGGAAACATATGGTTCAACAACATTGTTCCTGTTTACGTTCAGAAAAGTAAGTATAAAGTCATTGTCTTGCAGCTTAATAGACAAGAATGTGGGCGCTAATTTCAAGGGGGTTGGAATATAAGAGTAGGGAAGTCTCATTGTAACTGTCCAAGGTGCTAGTGTGACTACATCCAGAATACTGACAGCGGTTTTAGTCCCTTACTTAAGAAAGGATATTGTTTATTTGGAGGCAGCTCAGAGAAGGTTCGTTCACCAGGATGATCCCTGGGATGGAGGGATTGTCTCACAAGCAAAGGCTAAACAGGTTGGGACTCCACTCACTGCAGTTTATAACAATGAGAGGTGATCTCATTGAAACATATCAGTCCTAAGGGGCTTGACAGGGTAAATGCTGAGAGGATGCTTCCCGCCTCATGGGAGAGTCCAGGAACAGAGGGCACAGTCTCAAAATAAAGCAGCACCAATTTAAGACTGAGGTGAGGAGGAATTTCTGCTATCAGAGGGTTGAGAGTCTTTGGAACTCCTTGCCACAGAGAGCTGTGGGGACAGAGCCCTTGTGTGTGTTTAACATTGAGAAAGAGAGATTCTTGCTCAGCCAGGGAGTCAAGGGAAAGGGCAGGAAAGTGGATGAGACGAATGTTGGATCAGCCATGATCCTACTGAATGGCGATGCAGGCTCGAGAGGCCGAATGGCCTATGCCTGCTCCTATTTCTTATGGTCTTACAGCAAGGAGTCAAGTGAGTTTAAAGAATAGTTTTGAGTTTGAGGGACTTTTGGAGTGGATAGATTGGAGATATTGGTTTGTTCTCGGGAGAGAAGGTTGAAAGGAGATGTGATAGAGATGTTCAGAATTGAGAGGGGTTTTGACAGGCCAGGTAACGACAGACAGGGACACCATTTCAAACTAACTGGCAAAAGAAGCAGAGGTGACAGGAGGAGAAACCTCCTTTCTCAGCGAATGTTCTGGAACGTCCCGTTTGGGAATGTGGCTTTGCAGGGGAAAGTGGATCATTTTCTGAAGAGATACGGGAGGCGATACTTCATGATATTATCATTAGACCATTAATCCAGAGACCCAGGTAATGTTTTGGAGACCCGGGTTCAAAGCCTGCCACAGCAGATAGTGCAATTTGAATTCAATTAAAATCTGGAATATACTGTCTAATCACGAACCTGAAACCATTAGCAATTGTCGGAAAATCTAATGTCCTGCAGGGAGGGAAACCTGCCAACATTACTCAGTTTGGCCCACAGCAATTTGGCTGACTCACTCAGAACTAAATGCTGACCTAGCCAGTGACTCCCTCATCCTGTGAATGAATGTTTAGAAAGAATTGCAGGAGATAGGAGGTAATGGAATGGCGTGAGTCACTCTTGCAAAGAGCCAGTATCGAGACAAGGGATGAATGGTCTCTTTTTGTCTCGTTACCCTGAAATGCTAAAGAAATTCAACCAAGTTCGCACTGTTACACATCATTGACCTAACTTACAATGTGTTCTGCTCTGCAAAGGACAAAAATGTAACTGCAATAAAAACAAAGTTGCTGGAAAAGCTCAGCAGGTCTGGCAGCATCTGTGGAGGAGAAAACAGAGTTAACGTTTCGGGTCCGGTGACCCTTCCTCAGA